AATAGGAGAATCCCCAGTCAGTCTGCCTGGTGTCATTAATCGTATTAATAGTCAGTTGTCAAAAAATGATCAATTCAAGTTGAATTTGTGTTCAGACATGTATCTACCCATATAAAATCATCAGTTAAAGTGAAAGTCACATTTAACAATTATTACAGTTTGTCTAATCATACCATGTGTAATGTAATTAAAATCAGTTTATAACCTAAGCCCAATACTTCTCTTCTATGTGATTTTGCCCAACCCTAATGAGTAGACTATTATCTATCTGTCAGGAGTACACCATTAAATTGAGCACCAACTTCATTTTGGGAGATCAGAGATCAGACGTTTCTTTAGATATGATCGGTGGAAAAGAACGGCAGAAAAGATGAGCATCTCTACCTCCACAAAGGTCTGAAAATCAACCACTGTCCCGTTCTGCTCTGCTGTGAGCTCTACCTAATATCCAGTTAAAACATTAACTGGATAATGTGTTGTTTTAAGGGTATTGTTCAATGTATTTCAATAAAATAACATTGGACTTTTTAAAGATCAGAGATGGGACAGAGAACTGGAATCACTGCACCCCCAGTATCTGTACCAACTTCTGGAAGGTGCTTCATGAAGTCATTAGAGAGCGGTGTGGTGCCATCATGTGCACTGGAGGACAGTTCATGTTTATAGAAAGTTGTTCTCATTAGAAAGTCTGCTAATAGTTTTCATAAAATGGCCTTTAATGCTTTATTTTTCTGTTTCTGCCAACCAGAGTTTCTCTATACATGTTTTCTGTTTAGACTTGAGCTGACCAGAAAGCATTGTGTCCTCGGTCTCCTCTTAATAGTGTGGACAAGTTCAGGACCATTCTTGATGTGTGCTTCTTGTTGCTATGTGACCACATGATTCCTGAGAATAACAACACTGTTCTGCTGTGCTGAACCTGTGTTACCTTCCTGGCACAATACACAGCATATTTTAGAGGCTGTACACAACAACGTCTCCTGCAAAGCCAAAGCATTTGTTGGAGACTGCCTGGGTTTATTCTTCTAGCTGCCTTTACTTCTCAGAAACCATTTTGTTATGAGCTTTATCCTGCTCAGACCCTTGCTTTTGCATCTGACTTTCTTCACTTCYCATTTTGGTTCAGTGTCATAATTTTTATTGGCTTAAGTTGAATGAAAACTTAGCTTAAGACTTACTTTATTAATTATTCTCAAACTGGAAGTGAAGTTTAATCACCTCCAMCTTTGCTGTTCATCTTTCCCAACACACAGCATTATTTATTTGGTCTAAATTAAACCTAAATATCCTACATGTCTCTGTTTTCTCTCCTCTTCTCTTCTTTTCCCTATGTTTTTGATTACAGATCCCTGAAGCAGAAAAAAAAGACCCCAATGAGCTCGTTGGTAAGTACAACGTATTATTCGTCACTCAGCACTGAAAAGATAAACAGCATCACACAGTGAAGTGCTTTTAACAAGTATTGGTGTGACTCAAAAGGGTAGGATTTTGACCCACAAAACTGACAGTAAGCTAGGGAAACAAATCTGTAATAACTGAAAACCTCCTAAACAATCATAAAACAATATACTCCAAAATGTTTTCTGCAGGTACTCTGGTGTCCACCCACAGACCCATGTTAGGTGAAGTGGATATTCTTAAATGATCCCTAAGTGTGGGTGTGAATGTMTKKTTTGTGTYTTTGTGTCCCTGTGATGGACTTACAACCTGTCCAGGTGTGCCATGCTTTTAACACGGTGACAAATAAGCACCAGGTCTCCTTGTATCCTAGAAGAAGTGTGTAAAGAAGATGGATGTGTATAGTGCCATCATATTGATTATTGCATTCCACAGTAAAAAACAATATTTTTCTACATCAATATTTATCCCACCTCTATTTTATTTTATTTGTTTTATTTCCTTTATTTAACCAGGAAAGTCCCACTGAGATTAAAAACCTCTTTTTCAAGGGAGTCCTGGCCAATAGGCAGCAAAAAGTATACATTTACACAGAGTTACACAATTAAAACACAATACAAACAATCAATATTAAAAACATTCACGATTCAATGAAGTCATCTCTAATGCCCTCAGTCTGGACTTAAAGGTGCTCAGAGAGATCAGTTCAGTTAACTTCCAGACTTATTGCAACATGTTCCATGTAGATGGAGCAGAGTAAACAAAGACCCTTTTCCCCAATTCTGTACGGAGAAATGGGACAGAGAGCAAGAAATAATCATTTGAAGGCAAGGAGTGTGAATCAATGCTTTTTCGTGTGATTAGATACAGATGTAAGATGGTAGCAGCCCAAGCAAAGCCTTATAAATTAAAGTGTACCAATGTCCCAACCTCCTTGTGGACAACCATCCCACATGAGTGTACAGATCACACTGATGAGTCGAGGCTTTACAGTTGGTTGGTAACAAACCTCAGAGAAGCATGATACACAGCATCATTTTTTAAAGATGTTGTGCTGAGGCATATATAACAAGTCTCCATAATCTAAAATGGATAAAAAATGTTGCTGTGACAAGCTGCCTTTAACCGTAAAAGAAAAATTTATTTTATTTTGAAAAAGTAGTCCAGTTTAAGTTTAAGTTTCTTCACAAGATTTTGGATGTGGGGCTTAAAACTGAGGGAGTCATCAATCAGGAACCCAAGATGTTTGTATGTGTCTCTATAATATTTCCTTCAAAAGTGGACACAGTGGGGATCGTCAGAGGCACCTTGTTGGTGTTTGCAAATAGCATTAGTTTAGTTTTATCAGCACTGAGAACCAACTTTAGCTGCATGAATGTGTGCTGGACAACATCAAACGCTCTCTGCAGAGATTCTATAGCTTTAGCAACAGTCCATCCAAAACAGTAAATAATTGTGTCATCGACATAAAAATGCATATTAGCATCTGACACATTTTGTCCTAATTCATTAATGTACATAATGAACAGGAGGGGACCCAAGACTGAACCCTGTGGCACCCCCTTGTGTACAGTCATAAAATCAGAACACAAACCATCATATTGAACACACTGAGTCCTGTTACTTCAATAATTTGACAACCAGGAAACCACATGATCTGACATTCCCAAACAACAAAGCCTGTACTTTAAGCCTGTACTTTACTTTTTATTGACAGATCAATAAAAAGAGATGCACAGTACTGCTTTTTATCAAGAGCAACAATTATATCATTTATCACTTTAGTGGCTGCAGTGATGGTGCTGTGCCCTTTTTTTAAGCCTGATTGCAGTTTTGAGAGAAGTTCATTCGAATATAAAAACTCTTTTAGTTGTTCGCAAACAAGAGATTCAAGAATCTTTGACAAAACACACAAATGTGATATTGGCCTGTAGTTAGTTAAAACAGCTGGATCACCTCCTTTAATAAGGGAGTAACAAAAGCTGACTTCCAGACTAAAGGAACCTCTTTATTTTGGATGGAAAGATTAAAAAGAATTGTAAGAGGCTGTGCTACGAAATCAGCAGCCTTTTTTTAAAAAGTAGGGCTCTATCATGTCTGGTCCTGAGGGCTTTCTATGATCCAGGGCTTTAAGGGCCTTATGCACTTGTTGTACCGTAAAGGGAACAAAAGTAAAAGGGTCTCCAGAAAACACTGGAGGGTCTGGGCAAGACGTCACAGAAGTCAGTCCAGAAGACTCAGTGAGCCAGATGATATAAAATATTGTTTAAAAAGTTTAAGACCTCAGTTCTCTCATACACTKGGACTGAGTCTTATTTTGGAAAGGCCTGAAAACTTCTATTAACAGATAGAGTCTCTGCAACAAATGCTGCATGAGTATACAGTATGATCAAATCAATACCTCCTCTTACTGGATATTATCTACTGTTTATTTATACTCAAACATTTAACAGTTACAGCTGAATGTTCTTACTTATTTTTGACTAAAATGCTACAGGTTTCTAGTACATCTTTTGTATCATCAATTAGACAAAGTTTCGTATATTTGAAGTAATTTGATCACTTACTAAACATGACCAAAGAAAAGATGCTGCTTAACAAACAACTGAGTTCATGTAAAAATAGTAAATTTACAGCCTTAACAGCGTTCCTATCAAAGAATGCATATCACTCAGCTCTTGTTAATGTCATCATGTGTTGAGAGATGAGTTAAAATCATGTTGGTCTAACTGTGAAAACATTCTGTGCAGTAGTCTGTTATTGATCAGTATGTTTTTTAAGAACAACTCTTGGTACTACATTGGATCTTATCAATAACTGTAAGACTGGCTGAATTTGAGCCATTTCTGTGTTTACTAAGGATGATTAGCTGTGGCAGTCATCATGAATTGGATTGACTCCAGAAGTTAATCAGTTATACATCCAATTTCCAAAGGACTCGACACACGGGCAGCGACAAACTACAGCGATTAACGGCTGTCATCGCAGCCAGGGTGAAACC